ACGATGGTTTGCTTAATTTCCTCTAGGTCATTCATACCTACTGGTGTCCATCTAGATTCTTTGGCTCCCTTTGAGCCTTTAGAAGTTGATGCTTTGTCAGAATAAATTACAGGGTATGTTGCTAAAACCCTGGGTAAGCCAGTTCTAACAGGTGGTGGTGGTGGCATTGTATCCTGCCCTTGTGTCTTCTCACCCGGATCATCAGTTCCAATAATTTTTTCAATCATTTCAAATCTTTGTATCATCACCTCTCTTAAATCCTGAATCTCCTGACCTACATGTGTTTCTAGTGATTTCACTAAGGTATCAATTTTTTTGGTCCCCATTCTGCACTTGTGACTCCAAGGTCTTAATGGTTCCTTTTAAAGATAGTATCTCCTCTTTGAACTGACCCTGGATATCATGTAAATTGCCATCCTGGAGGTATATTCTGTCTGTTACCTTATCAAAACTCTGTGATAACTTTTCAAAGTCAAATTCAACAGCTTGGATCCTTTCAGGTAACTTCTTAGTGCCCTTAGATAAGGAGTCAATTTTGCCTATCACAGTATTAATCCTATCAATTAATGTCATATATTTCCACAATGATATAACATTAAGAAGGAAACTAAAACCTAATAACCAGTAAATCGAGGTACCTCCATAGGCATATAGGCCACTTGTGATTTCTACCAAAGTGGCAGCAAAAGCTGCAGCTAGAGTCCCATTAAAAAAGAAACCTGCCATTTTACCTGTCAGCCACCAGATGGGGATGTCTCCGAGTCGCGACTGGAACCACTGTAGGCCTCACGACAAATCCTATTTTAAAATCTGCTCTGTTATTTGTTCAAAAACTGGGGAAAATGAGTCAATTGAGAGGTCAGATGTACACAGAGAGAAAATCCAGAGGCCAGACACAGAGCACAAAAGGTCAGAGAGCTTCTAGTGGCCAATAAACAAGGCAGCCTGGCCTACCCCGGCTGGGCTCTCCTGCCCTGCCACACTGTTCAACCAGATGCAGAGGGTCGTGACACAGCCACTGCGCTGTTGCTAAAGAGGCCTAGTGCTTTGCACCCCCTGTCCCTGTGCTGGGATTAAGGGTCAAGCTGCTTGCAGCACTCCCAATCAGTTATGGCGGATGGCGGGGTGGGGGGGGGTTCAAACAGCTTGCTGGAACTTCAAAGGGAGCTTGCTCTGTGAGCTCTTTGACTCACGTTGCAAGGAAAAATTTAAAAATCCGTGCAGAACAGCAAAGTAGGCCGGCAGAGACTGTCCGAACTTGTGTATCCTGGGAGGCAGGGAGGTTATGGCTGAGGGAGGGCTCATGCCAAGCCAAGCTAGCCAAGCAGAGCTGGCGGCAGAGAGCCAAGCCAGAGGCCGGCAGCTGAGCCGGGGGTAGGGGGTGTGGGGTGGTTCTTAAACCAAACCCTGGGCACCAAATAATGGTGAATCAATCCCACACCAGTTATGTTTTAAAGGGGTATTTATTTGGGGGAGTAAACTTACATATATAAACCATCAGGAAGGAAGCCTAGTCGCTGGAGCAGGGGCCAGAACCAAGCGCCAGAACCAAGAGGCCGAGCTGAGGCTTGCCACTCTTCTTTTAAAGAGAAATATACCACGCCCCAGTGGGCTAGTATTTCAGCAGCTATTGGCTGACGGAAGGGAAGGTGTTCCCGCAGCACTGTGGGCTCGTGCTTCAGTGACTATTGGTTGAAGCAGCAGAAGGTACTCCTGCAGCACATTTTAAAGGAGCTTCTGGTCAGAAAATTGTTATAGATATCCAATAAAGAGAATTCAGATAGAAATAAACCTCTGAATGAGACATAGTATGTTTTATAAAATGTATGTAGGCTTGAGATAGAGAAAAAAAGAGTATAGACAGTTACAAAAAATAAATAGTTTTATAAAGTGAAACAAAGTCTTTAAAGCAATAGTAAAAGTAACATCAAAGAGTACACACTGTCATAGATTAAAGGAGTAAAGAAAAATAAGCTAGGTAAGATGAAATACACACAGGGGGTCTGAATTATGTATACTATTGTGCTTCCTTTAAATTTTTTGACTGCAGAGAGACGTTTGATTCTGGAAAAGGTTAAGTTACACCAACATATATGTGCTAAAGGTATCTTGACGTTAAAATTTGTATCTAAGGATATGTTACTTTGTAAAAGAGGTTCTGCTTTGCTTCCCCAGAGGATGGGAACCTGTGCATTCCTTTCAGATTAATGTGGTTTGATGGATCAAGACCCTCTGAAAGGTCTCCGTGAATGCCCCCAAATACTTTGCCCAACAAAAAGCATGAAGCAGTTTGGAGAAAACTACTCCCTAATATTGTTTGTAAATGTTTGTTTTCATTTAAAGGGAGATTGTATAATACAGAGATGAATAGTTTGCTTTAGTATGGATCTTGGTCTATTGATACAAATTTAAGATCAATTTAGTTATATATATATATTTCTGCTCTTGTTTGAGATATTGTGTCTATGTAGCTCATTTAAAAATATAATGTATAGTTAAGAAATACAGATTAATATATAGTCACTTATAATAGTCAAACTTGTAGTCATGTTAGTTAGGTTTTCTAGATGTACAGAGATAAATTTCAGATGAATAGATATTCTTCAAATCTTTCAAAGTCACACAGAATATGGCATTTAAAATGTTTTAAGAACTTAGACTTGTCTTGGCAGTGAGGCATATCTGCTTCTGGCAACATCAGTGACTTCAGAGAGGTTGATGGCCATTGAAGAAACTTGTGATGAAATTTTCCTTCAATGTGATGAGGCTAGTCATTTGGGCAAGAAACTGCTCTTTCCTGGACTGTTTGATGGTATGCTGTATGAACTGGACATGTAGGACCCATAGAAAAATGACTGCTGAAGTTGCCTAACAAAGGTGAGACAGTCCTTAGGGTTCCTGCTTCATGAAAGAGTCTGCCAGACATTCTACAGGACACAGAATTAAGTGACTGACAAACTGCCAATACAGGCAAAACTGTCATTGAAATTTCCTGCTTTATGGAAAAGTCTGCCAGATACTGTGAGTCTCTAGGCTGCAGATGGATGCTCCTATGTTACAGAAGAAATGTGGGTGACTGTTCAGGCAGTAAGATATCCTCATTTCTAGAGTTTTGGAAGCTGCTTGCAATGCACTTTCTGTTTATTTAGGTAATATTATATCCTTCTGGGGTCTTTGATGGAGTTGAAGAAAGATAGTTATAACTATAAAAGATAAAATTAGATATAAAACTTTAGACTCACAAAGATAGACTAGATGGTAGAATATTTTCCTTTATTTGTCAAATGTAAATGGGCTAAATATTATAACTATAATTCTTGCTTGATAGCTGTTTTTGTTAGATGTAATTTTATTATGTTAAAGTTAAAACCTTCCCTTTTATTTAGATAGAAATAAAGGAGGTGATGTGGGATTACCCTTTGTATGCTGTGAATATGTTTTATTACGATTGGTTAATAGAGAGTCTGCTTTGGGCCTATGGCAGGACAGAATAGAGACAGGCAGGAACTCTGAACATATATATATATATATATATATATATGTAGAGAGAGAGAGAGAATAGGTAAAGTCAGAGAGATGCCATGTAACCATCGAAGGAAACAGATGCTAGAGAATCTTACTGGTAAACCATGAGCCTCAGGGTGATACATAGATTAATAAAAAGGGGCTAATTCAAAATATAAGAGTTAGCTAGAAATATACATGAGCTAATTGGTGAAGCCATGTTGTAATTAATACAGTTTTATTTCAGGTCTGGGTGGTCAGGAAATGAATGAGTAGTCTCTGACAACATAGTATTGTCTCCAAATATTAGTTAATGGAAAAAAACACCAAAGCCTTCATCTGAACTGAGTTTATTTATATATGTTCTATTCTTTTGCTGACACTTAGCCATGAACACATGTCTCATGACTTGGATGATCCCCTAAAGAGCATTTCTTATTTATTTATCTGTTTATTTCTTGTACACATTGTATACTACCATAATAGCTACAATCTAAGTCACTGAAGACTTACATTTATTGTAAAAGTTTGACAACCTGCAATCCTATTTTCTTCTTTTAAATATTAAATCAATTTTTGAATATCTTTTTCATAGTTGAAAAATAATTCTGGATTATCATAAAATTCCAGGGGTGTCCAGATTTAATATGTCTCTTTAAAAAACCACTGCTGTGGATTAAGAGGGAAAAAAAGATCAAATATAGATCCCTATAAAGACCACACATTTAAAAGGTAAGAAAGGAGAGGGAAATTCAGAGGAAGACAGGCAGTGCTTAGAGGAGTGAGAGGCGTGAGAGGCCAATCAAGAGGGTAAGTAATGTGATTGAAAGCGGGAGTGGGGGAGGGTCCTGAACTGGCAGGTGGATAGCGGGAAGGCTTCTCCTGTGCTCCAATCACAGCAATGAGAACCACGATGTAAGAACAGAAATTTACAAAGTCATCACGTGGAAAACTAAAAAACATAAAACCCCCAAAAGACAAAACAAACCCCCCACAAAACAACAACAATAGAAAAAAAAAAGCAACAAAAACCTCTCTGCACCAATTGCGGAGCAGAATGTAAAAGGCTGCCCTTTGGGTTGGCTCCAGGCAGGACCACCCAGAAGCTGATGCCTTGTAAGACACCATGGGGAAACAGGCCCAGGTAGCCAGTCTCACATGCTTCTCTGGGACTGGGTTCATTTAAATATTTCTCTTAATTATGGGCTATAGTTTTTCTGCTTTCTTGCTTCCTTGCTTTGCTGGGAACGCGTAGTTCAATCCAGACAGTGAAACATGCCTGTTTGGTCCTGGATATTGTGTATTCCCACGAACATTTTTGACCTTTGTTCCAGACGTAGATAAATGACGTGAAAATGGTATTATGTGTTTGGGTTTTGTTTATATGATGCTGTAATGAGGCAGAGTTCTCTAGAGGAACACAGAATGAATAGAAGGAACATGTAACACTCCATATTTATTAGATCGACTGACATTACACTATGTGGGTTGGGTAGGCCAACAACGGCAGTCTTCACGTGGGAGATGCCAGCGACTGTGAGGTTCCGCATCCATGATGCTGGATGCCCCAGTCCCAGCCTGAAGGCCTGTGGGATTCCTGGATCCACCGACTTTCAGTCCATGCTGGAAAGCTGGAAAACCTGGATTCTGACATCACTGAGGGATGGCAGCACCTGTGGAAGTGGCTGCAGCCGAGGGCATGAACTTAGGGACAGGAGAGAAGAATTTGCTGTGAAGATGTAAAGACAACCAAGTAAAGGAAAATGCTCCCCCTTGGATCTTCTTACGTCATGGTCAATGACAGAAGGTGCTGCCCTGTTTAGGGTAGATTTTCCTGCATAGATTATCCTCGTTAAGGAAATCCCCCACAGAAGCTTGGGTCATAGTTAATTCCAGACGCATAGGAGGAGTTAGAACGGAAGTTGTTTTAGGGATTCCCTACAGCTATTTCAAGACTCGTTGGACAGTGACCCCAGTGCCCTTTGAGTTATGGGATTTCTAAGTCTGGAAGGGTCAGGTGCTATTCCTGGCCTCTGTGAGTACCTGGTATTGTTTATTGTTCCCTTCCATTATTGTTCTCTCTCTCTCTCTCTCTCTCTCTCTCTCTCTCTCTTTCTCTCTCTCTCTCCTTCTCCCTCTCTCTCTCTGCATTAAAGGCCTTCATCATGGCATCCTCATACATACACGTCATTATATTTTTATTGCCCTGTCACTTTCCTCCTCCTTTCCCTCAGATACTCCTCCCCTCCCTCAGATACTCCTTCCTTCCCTGAGATACTCCTTCCTTCCTTCCTTCCTTCCTTCCTTCCTTCCTTCCTTCCTTCCTATTAAATGTTCTTCTGTCACCCTCTCTATTTCTACCTCCTTAAAGGTCTCTTTCTTTCCTTTTTGTGGACCAATTTCTAATTCAATAATTTATACACACACATAACTATGCATACACACACATAGATGTGACCTTAAAACTAGGTTCTATTGATGAGAGAAAACATCCGGCATTTGTCTTTTTGAGTCTGGCTTATTTCACTTAGTTAATGATTTCAGGTTGCATCCATTTTCCTACAGTTTAATAATTTTTATTTTTTTATGGCTACATAAAATTTCATTCCTTATGCACATGACATTTTCTTTATTCATTTATCTGTTGATGAGCATGTAACCTTGTTCGATTTCTTTGTGCAGTTACAAACAGTATTTTGGAATTTTAACTTAGAGTCTTTGCAATAAACACTTCAGAATGATATGGCTGGGTCCTATGGTAGCTCTATATTCAATTTTTTAAAAGTTTTTTTTTGAGAAATCTCCATTTCATTAGAGCTTTAATTTCCATTTTGTTAAATGTTAGTAATGTTGATCATCTTTTCATGTCTTTGTGGCCGCTTGTGTTATCTTCTAGGGAAGAATACCCATTCCAGCATTTTGCCCAATTCGCTTTCTTTATTAGTTTTACTTTCTGGGAGTTCTCTTTTCTCTCTACTCAATATTAATCAATGTTAAATAGTCCCACATTCCAGGAGTAGACGTCAATCAGTCATGGTCTGAAATGTTTTTGAATTTGATTTGTCACCATTTCATTATAAATGTACGCAACGTTTTTCATAAGAGGTATTTACACATAGTTCTTTTTTTCAGAAACATCTGTGTGGTTTGAGGTTAAAGTGAGGCTTATACATCATTGAATGCTTCCTCTCTATGACGTTTTGCTCCTCTTCATAAAACAGGATCCCTGGAGAAGGACCAGGGATCGCCCCTTACAGGTTTGACAATTTACCAGTGAAGCCTACAGATCCGAGTATTTTTTGTTACCAACATATTTTTAATAAATTTTAGATCTACTCAGATACTCTGTTCCTTCATGATTTGTTCCTGGTTATGTTGTATTTCTAGGATCTGTTTCGCCTATGCATTTAGAGGTGCATTTCAGGCATAGTGGTTTTTTTAAATTGCGTTCATAATTTGTTTATTTCCACAGAATCAGTAGCAATGCATACTTTCATTTCTAATTTTAGTCTTTTCCTTTTTTCTTTATTCATGTAGCTTAAGCTGCATCAATTTTGTTGATATAGCTCTTCACAGATCAACCACTCACCGTTCAGCTGTCTGACTTGAACTGACAGTACCTTAACTACCTTCACTTCAACAACACATAGATTGTGCATCTTTCCTAACCCTCACTCACCATTGTTGAGGACATAAAATTACATCTTTGTACACTGCATAGCCCAGACCAAAACTGAACGTTATCTATTCTACTCTTGTCTGGTCCTGATTTCTATGATCTCGAGTCTAATGTTTATTACTTCTTGCTCTGTTCAGAATTTGGTTTCACTTGTGCTTTTAGTTCATTGAGTAGTGAAGTTGGGCGTTTTTTTTTTTTAAAATTTATTCATAATTTAATTAGTTGTTCAAAAGTATGATTTTTAAATTTTCACAACTTTGAGTTACTGATTTTTAACTTCATTCTTTTGTGGTTGAAGAAAATGTTTTCTGCTTTCTGTATTATTTATGGTTTTAAACACACTGAGAATTAGTTTAATATGTAAAGTAGTCTATACTACATAGTAGTATAGATTCTTGTATACTATTTATACCAGTATAGTATGGATTCTTGAGAACATATGTCTGTTGTTAGTAGAGTATTTTGTATATGTCTGTTAGATATACTTGGTTTCTTGTCTTGTTAAGTGCTTATTTCCTATTTTTATTCTGACATCAAACAGCCAAGGGGCCCTCCGTTTATCTTCTGTATGGTTCTGTTATCTATTCATAGTATTGTTATATCCAATGATCATTGTAAATCTATCTCTTTTTTCATTTCTCTGTGTTTTTCTTTGTATATTTTGATGATCTTTAAAAATTTTAAATTATTGTTCTATTACTCTTCTACTAATATGCACAAACATGTAATATCCTTTTCCTCTTGTAACCGTTAAGATAGCTACCCATTTCTTTGTGTGCAAATTAAGTCTTTTGTAGAGGGCATAGACTTTGACTGCTGTTAAAAGCATTAATTTTTCTAATTTATTATTATTATTATTATTATTATTATTATTATTATTATTATTATTATTATTATTATTTTTGTTTTCCAAGACAGGGTTTCTGGCTATCCTGGAACTCATTCTGTAGAACAGGCCAGCTTCAAACTCACAGTTCCTGCCTCTCCCACTCAAGTACTGGGATTAAAGGTGTGCACCATTGGCATCCAGCCTGATTTATTTTCTTAATTGGGAGAATTTAATTCATTTATATTTAAAGTAGTTACTAATGTGGAGAGACTAATATAATTTCCTAAGCTTTTTGTCTTTCATTCATGTTCTGCTTTACTGTCTGTTCCCACCAAGTCCTAAGTTCCCCAGATTTCTGACTTGAACTTATACCTTAAACACCTTCATTTCAACACCACATAACATTTCATCTTTCATATTTCTAGTCTCACCATTTCAGTTGTGGCCGACATGAAATTTCTTCTTTTTACACTGTATAACCAAAAACTAATAATGCTTTGAAATGTATTTATCTTTTATATTATATACGAAATTAAAAATGGGCATATGGACCAAGTTGCAATAGTACTAGCTGTGTACTGGGGCTGAATTAAAACAAAAACAAAAACAAAACAGTTTTGTTGGTTAAAGTGGAAAGAAAAGTGTGCAGTTGCAAACCATTGCTATATTAATAAATGGATTTTGTTAGTGCATATGTGTTCATCTTTGTTGGAATCCTCTTCTCCTCCTGTGACTTATGCTCACTGCAATAATCTTTCATAGCTCACATGTCATCGAGCATTTTCTCAGAACAGGTCTGGTGGAGATAAACTTCTGTTTATTTGGGTAGGTTTTAATTCCACCTCGTCTTCCAAAAGGCAGCTATGGGAAATATAGACAACAGGAATTAGAATGAAGCTGATGTTGCGTGTGTGCGTGCGTGCGTGCATGTGTGTGTGTGCGCGTGCGCTGCGCGCGTGGGCATGCTGTCTATGCGTTCTCGTGCTGGCATGCTTATGTCAGAGGTGTGTCCTCATCTAGACTTTCTCCCTCACTCCTGTGAGCTAGGGACCCTCACTGAACCTTCAACCTCCAGAAACCCTTCTGTCCCTGCCTTCCAAGCACTGGCTTTAGAGCATACACAACCCGACTTTTCACGTGGGTTCTGGGGATCCAAATTTGGGTCTTTATTCTTGTGGGATGAGTTCCTTCCCCACTGAGCCAACTCCCCGGTCCATGAAGTAAACATTCTTAACAGGGCTCAAATTTGCTTTTCAAGTAGCATTTGTTTCTGATATTACCCTGTCTGCCACCGAATCCTGATGGACATTTTCATATCATAAAGTCCAATCATCAGGACATTAATCGTGTGCTAATTCTCCTGCTCCCATGAAGACAGGAGTGTGCTGAGGATTATCAAATAGTTCCATGCTCACCCCCTTTGACATTTCAACCTTCTTATTGCTCAAAGGTCAGGGCAGGGTTAGGGAGGTTATTCTGGGGCAAAGTGCTCCCAAGCATGCAGACCTGAATTTAGTCCCTGGAATCCACATGACCTAGTTATTTTTTGTCCACTCGACACAAACTAGAGTCATCTGGGAAGGAAGAACCTCACCTGAGAGAACACATTCATAAGATTGGCCTGTGTGAAAGTCTATGGGGGCGTTTTCCTGGTTAATGACTGACGTGGGCAGGCCCATCCCACTGTGGGTGGTGCCACCCGTGGACAGGCAAGCTTATATTAAAAAAAAATATATAAACTAAGCAAGTGATGGGGACCAAGCCAAGTAGCGGCATGTGAGCACGCACGCACGCATACATGCACGCACACACGCACGCATGCAAAAGAGTCAGTGGAGGGCAAGGTCAAGAAATCAGGAAGCAGCTACCTGTTAAGATTCAGCATTGTTATTCCAGCATAGTTTGTCCACCTCACCCTCCTGTGGAGATCAACCACAGTCCTGCCGTTCTCATTCTTGTCTCCCCCTCTTCCTCTGCAGCTTGCCTGTGGTTAGGCTTCCCATGGCAAAGGCTGAATCATTCCAGCTATAGAGTCTGGCCTAAGGACAGCAGTTCTGCAAAGGCTTTGCTCCAGCTTCCCAGAGCAAAAACTTCTCTGAGGCAGGGGATTAACTACTTGTGTCCGTAATTACAAGCTGATATGCATTAATCCCTTTGTAAAAGTTTCTAGGGGAATTAAAAAATAAATAAAATGTGCTTAGTTTCTGTCCTGTCCTTTTATCCGCAAAGATGCAGTGTTTTCCCAGACAATGCTAATCATGCATTGTGATAAAAAAGGAAAGAATAGTCAGTTCGTCATGCCCAATCAATAAACGTTGCTATGAACCCAATTATTTTCATTCCTTGAATGAGAAAACATGCTAAGCTAAGGAGGCATGGTGATTAACTCCTTCGCTGCTGTTCCTATGGTATTTCACACACTCTTCTATTATTTTTTTGTATCCTGCTCATGAACTGTGTATTACAGAAGCAGATTTACTAGTATTGCCTCGTATTTCACCCACAAATACAGGGTGACATAGAGGTCAAACAAGCAGAGTAGTGTTTCTGCTCCTGATTTTTGTCTTTGTTTCTCAGGAACACTTGGATGGGGAAACCCTACCCAGAAGAAGGAAATGCTCAATGAAAGAGTTTCCACCATTGCTCAGCATGAGATGGGGCAGAGTAGAGTATGTACAGAATAGCCGTGGGTTTTTTCTTTCCTCTTCTCCACTAACTTCCGCTGACCTTGCAGAAACACATCCAGATACTGATTTGCAACACTAAGATTTGGGGAACATTTTCCTCTTTAAAATACCCATCTCCGTACCATATCAGATACATGCCCCATAACCTTTACAAAAGTCTCCCAGGAACTTGTTTGATATAGTTCATAGTGTCCTGGCTAAGCACAGAAGGCATAGACAGTGACGAGGCTGGCTTATTTAATGTCTGCCATCTTATTTTCTCTTTGGACATAGGGAGGCATTTTTGACATGTAGCTTGATACTCTCCGCTATGTGGGAAAGGGTGGGAACACTGACAGCTGCCCAGAACTGCTGCAGGAGTGGACAGCTGGATGCAGGTGCATGGACTGTCTCAATTTGACAGGCTTTAAGGCTTGCATTATCTGAAGTGATATTCAATATCCCACCCAATGAGGTACTTAGAAACAGCAGAAGCAGCATGGTTATATATACATACATTCACCAGTGCATACAACCCCGTAACCATCACTCACACCGACATGGATGAAACACCTGCCATGTGTTTTGTGATCTTACTGATGAACAATGTCGTGGAAGCTTAGAGATCATGCCTTGGACGTTGGGATGCTGGGTTGCTTGGTTTTCTTTGTGCCTGTTTCTCCTCTGTCTACATAAAGATGAGAATGCCTGTGTTTCCATGGTTTCCTGATGAACTGCCACAGTTACAGGTAGTAATTGCTGGATGAATTGCTCTGGTTATCATTTAAAACTGACGGAGGTGAGTGTCTCTGGTTCTGAGGGTGCATCCTCAGTGAGTACTGACCTGTCCCTCAACTTCATGTGCTACCAACTGGATTAGGGACCAATCACCTGCCCTTTCTTACGTTCCTTTTCTAGGCATTCACTGAGATTAAGCCTTGCCAGGTAATTATCATGAACTGGTTTTGAGGCTAAAATGAGGCTTTGGAAATAACCAAAATGACTTCCCAGAGGCCGAAGGAACTCCCAGGTTCTAACCTTTAAACAGAAGAATGGACGCACCATTTTTTTTATTAGGAAAATAAATAACCAGCAAAATTCAGCGATCTGCGGATATAGTTTTGAGCATGTGGCTTGAGTTTGAGACCCAAGGATAGCCCTTTATTTGTAGTTCCAACGTAATCTGTATTTTCAAAGTGACCCAAGTCCCCTGGCTGGCCCTACTGTGGGCCTACAGAAAGGTCATGGACTACTTCAGAGAGGTAGGAAGAACTGAACCATAGAGAGATCAGCAAATCTCCCTTTGAAGGCATAAGACCCTTCCTTACCAGATGGCTCAGATGGCTTCAGACACAGGAAATATAGGGGCTCACACCAGGGCAAGGGAGCGAATTTCCTGCATGACCACGATCATCACAGCAGACTAGAGGTAAGGGCATGAAGAAGGGGTGACCTGAATTCTGTCAGCTCGGAAAATAAGCTGTAGTGAAAGTCAGGGTTTTGCCTCCCTGAGAGAAGAGAGAATGAGACAGGGAGATGGGCTTCATTCCTCTCCTTAGTGAGGAAGAAATTTGAAGTTTCTCCTGCTGTGTGGATTTACGAGACAGAACAAGTCTCTCCTGTCACACATCAGAAGGGAGGCAAACACATGGATTTAGACTCTGACTTTATACAGTTTGTCTCAAGAGAAAGTAAAACTTTGATTATATAAGACACGCTCAGCGATTTTCCTGTAGGAAGCAGGGGCCTGTCTCAGCTGAGTGACGCCGGGCCGCTAGTTCTCGGGGGAGGAGGTCCAGAAAACAGTCCCTGGGGAGGTCAGACTTCAGTGGACTAGCTGCTAGGAAGCAGAGTAAGAGCGGCTGGTATCCTGAGCGCAGAGAAGCAAGCTCTCAGGGCAGACAGTGGGCAGGGCAGGTGCTCCGGAAAGGATTATAGATCGTCTTATATGTGAATTAGCTTTTATATTCAATTATAGCTACTGTTATTTTGGATCGGATCATCAACATGAAATCCAATAATGAACATGACTGCAGTTGAGCAAAGGGGAGGTCAGATGCTGAGCGTGGTTGAGCCTGTTGTCCATGAACTTGTTTGGGGATGATGCAGGAAGGTTGGAGGTCCAAGGCTATAAGGACAGCCTGGATTACCTCTGATGTCTTGTCTCTAAAAAGAAAAGAAGAAGCCATGCATTTTTTTTCTCATCACTGTCCTTTGAAGGCTCAGTAACTTTTCACTACTTTTGGTTAAAACAGTAGTCAGAGGCCTGCCTGGGAAGCACCACTCTGCCTGCCAAAGATGGGGCTGGACCACTTCCACTGCTCTGAGGGGATCTCACTGAGTCCTGGCCAGACAGATCATTGCAATTTCCTGATCATGGAAACTGTCCCAGGGAAGGGTATGTGACCTCATCCAAGCAAATGACACCTCTTCTGGCCCCTTAGATCTCATGAAGGGTATTAGAACACCTCGTCGGAGCTGAACAAACCATCTCTCACTGACCGTGACATCTGAGATCACCAGTCAGCCTCAGAATTCCTTTGCATGGTCACCTGGGCACGCAGGTGGCTGTTCATTTTACACACTCCTTTCCTCTGGAGTCACAACCCTGCCTCTTGTTGTCTTATGTCACATGTCACAGCACATTGGTAGTCCATCCTGGCTGCCTGTGATGAGAATACATTTTATAATTATAACACAATGGGAAAACGCAAGAGCCGTGCATAATACTCATGCTTGGAACTGCCAGACTCTGGAAACTGTCGCTGCTGTAGCGACAGCCAAGCCTGTTGCTTTGCACTTGGCATGGGGATTCCTCAATGCTACTGCTGACAGTTATGGCCGTGTCTGGTTGTTAATGAATTAAGAGACTTCTGTCATAGCGCCTATGACTTTGTTGTGCAGTGTGTGGGGTCCTGCCACCTTTGACTGTGGCTCGACCGAGACACTGGCTTTCAGGAGCTTCCCGTTTCAGGTTTTGTAAAATGGTCGCCCCTTTGTGTTCTTTTTGGTTAGTTGTTTTCCTGCTTTAAAAGTCTTGTATTGCAACATTGAGGCAATCTGGAATGTGGACTTGCAAATCCTGCCCTGAGCAGCAGCCAGCTGGGGCTGTGCACAGCTATCTTGCTCCCCCACTGTGGGAAAATAGAAACCTTTTGCACTGCTCATGACCCTATAGGTTCAGCAAATTCAAGGAGAAATATGTTTATTCAAAGCTAATGAAGTCTCCACTGACTTGTTTTCAGGGTTTTTTTTTTCTTTTAACCTAGATATATTGAGAGAAACAGGAAAAAGATGACTTTACCATTATTTTAAAAGGTGGTAATAAAACCAATTAAGCCTAAGGTAATGGGTGTCTTATTTATCACCTTTTAATTTTAAAACCAGTGATGGGCAGTGCGTTTAGCAAGCATGAGACCCTGGGTTCAAATCTCAACACTGAAACCCCAGGAAAAGTAAGCTGAATTTATACAAGGACAAGAGTGTGCTATGATGAAATTTATGAAGAAATAACTCGTATTATCACATTTTTATGACAACTCAAGAATTAAGCTAAATCTTTTTGAAGGCAAAGCAAAGCCCATATTTGTCCCATTATGTAACAACTACAAAACGTGTTGTCTGTCATCACAGGCAGTCAAGGTGTGCTGCCTATGGGTTGTGGTTAGAGTGTGTTGTGATCCACAGTCAGCAAGTTTGTCTACTCCAATCTGTTGAAGAATGAGCATGAACTTCTCTGAGAGTCTCACACATGGACTTACTCAGTGGATAATATTTTCACATTGCCTCTAATCCCTCCAAAATATACACATTGCTCCCCAAATTCAAATATATGTGTTGAATAACCCCTATAATATATTCATAAAATTTTTTTATTCTAAAGCAATGTAATTATGGACTATTTCATGAGATCCATTATGGAAATGATTCTTTCTTTCTACATTATGAATATTATATAAATGCATAAAGCATTATTTTCCATTGATTGTCTTTGAAAATAAATTTTTATTGCATTTAAAATGTGTGTGTGTGTGTGCCATTGCCTATGTGTGGGGAGTCAATTCTCTCCTTCTACCGAGTGAGTCCTGGGTTCTTTCCTTCTATCACGTGGGTCCTGGACATGGAACTCAGGCTGTCAGAGTTGGTGGCGCGTGCCTTTACCCATGGAACTCTCTTACCCTCTGACTCACCTTTGAGTAAGTCTTATCATACAGACACAGTAAGTATTTTCCCCCTAATGTACAGTCATAAGGAACTCACTTAAGAAAGAAAAGCAAAGAATTGGCTGAAAAAAATCCATGGCATTTTATAGATGAGACACCACACACAGTACCATACCTTGTGTTGACCATAATAGACCCGCTTGTTACTTTCTTAGTGAGGGACAATAGGAACTCTGACCTGAAAAAGAGCCCCAACTGCTTTTAACTTAAGAATGTTTGAGCTGTCACTGTTGGACAACTATGTGCCTTGGATTAGTGGGAAATCGCCAATGCAAGAAATTAACATTCTCATGTTCAATTTCATGTTGCCTTGGGGGTCTCCCAGCACAGTTCACGGCATGGCAAAGCCATGCTCAGAATAAAGAACACAGTTTACTGGCAGTGAGTCTTCGACACGGCTGCTCAGTCCCCTGCGATAATTTCAACTCAAATGAGAGCAGCAGAGAAGACAGTTTTGTCATTTGGGGCCATCTAAAAAGACATCTGTAGTATTAGAAGAACTGAAAGTGACCATCCATTTGTTAAGCTGACCTTTCGTGGCCTGAGGGTCTTTGGGCTGAACAATTGAAGTGTGTTCTTTAAATCTCGTCAGCACAGATGAGGTAGGCAGCTTATCGATATCTATGCCTGTGAGCAAAGGCACCTTTCCTTTCTTAGCAACAAGGGAGAGGTATTTAGAAAAAGAAGAATGTTGTTTTAGAAGGAACCAGAAACAATTCTGGTATCAACTTATACTCTGTGTTGATCTCTCTAATTCGTCCAAATTGTTGAGATTGTCTGAAAATTAAAAGTAGATGTTCATTTTTATCTTTTTCTTTAAAAAGAAGGCCAGACCTCAAGAAGATGAACTACTTTTGCACTTGTATTACATGTTGTCAATAGAGTTTTAATTTCCAATCTGTTGCAAAACACGGAGTTTGGCAAGAAGTTCAGATTTCTTCCCTGGCTAGGAGAATAAATTCGGTCACGGAAAAGAATTCATTTCCGGATTATCTCAGATATTCGTCATCATCTTTTTTAAAAATTCAGTGTTGATTCATGATTAACATGGAGTGTGAAAATTTTCATTCAAGAGAAACCCTATCCAAGACATTATCTAATAAAACAGCTGGTACCCTTGTTCCAATTCACGCCGCCGAACTACAAAAAAAAAGTTTCTAATTCTCACAGAACTTTGCTTTGCTATTGTATGAACAGAGAATCTGAATTATTTAATTCAGTTGTTCAGTTCATCATCCGTTAGTGCAAGTGAAGAAACCCTTCACACAACAGCACAGTCAGCCTAGCCAGTGACCAGCTGATTTTTAAGTCACATTCTTGGTTTAATGTCAAACATTTTTAAGGATCTAAATGTATCTAAACAACACAGTTTATGATTTTTATTTATATCTGTCTGCCTAGGTATTTTCATTTGTTGGCCCAAAGCACAGACAGATTTAAATTTTTAACCCTATTAGGTCCAGAAAATAATACCAGAAGTGCATTAAAACACGAAACTCCGTCTGCTGGTAGCGAGTGAACATTTCTAACTCTGAGCAGAATCATATACTGTTTACAGTTGTTGCTCATGAGCAGGTGCATTGTGGGAAAATAACTGACCACCAAAGCCACACCAGCCCCTTGCCTCTGTCGGTTGCATGGTGAGAAATTAACAGTGCCGTATTTGCTTTCTGCCTACTGGTTCTCAAATTTCTGATTCTCATTCTGCAGGAATGCGTTCTAATCCGAGGACATACTCTTAGACCCTCATTAATCCTGGTGCTCCAGAATGATTCACAGGGGCACTCAAACTTGGTTGGTTTCACGGGCCCCAAGTTAGCTTTCGCTAACGCGGGCATCATCCTTGAACTTGTCATCTGGTGAGGTATTGAGTTCCCTGCTTCACTCAGTGACATAATCCGAGGAATGCGGCCACTTGCCATTTCTGTCTCAACTCTGAGCACATGTCCCTGCATCTCAGGTTTGGCCTTAAGAGCGTCTCAGTCACAAATGACCCAGCGTCACTAAGGGGACTACCAAAGTCATACATGAAAATAGTGCTTGCTTCTGAAAATACCGTGTTGTGGATGGAGCCTTCTTCACAAGACCAGCTTTCACAATCTAACGTGTGCAACTGGAATCCAATACACTAACTGTTTCAGGAATCCTTGGTCCTAAGAGGCATTTTTATTTACTGAAGTTGTAGTCAGGAAGATATGTTGACAGAAAATTAGTCAGAAATTAGTTATTTTTTATTCATTGTGTGTGTGTGTGTGTGTGTGCTTACATGTGTGAATATGCATAAACAGGCACACACATGCCACACACGCTCTTGTGAGGTCAAAGGACAATTGTCATGAGTCAGTTCACTCCTTCTACCGTGTGGTTCTGGGTTGCTTGGGGGTAGGTGCTTTTATCTGCTGAGCCAGCTTGCTGTTGAAGTTATTGTTTACTTTTAATTTAAAACAGGATGTTGATGTGCAATATTATAACTATAAAAAGATTTTATATGTTAAGGCAGCATCACCCAATTTTCTTCCAAAATATACACATGAAAATGTTATACTAAGATTCACTATGTAAAATTGATCACATCAGTAAAAACATTAAGAAAGAAGTT